TTTTTTTTTTTTTTTTTTTAACAAATTTATTATTTTAGATGGATTCAAGTTTCCACCGATTTGTATATTTAAAGGAAAATGATTATCAAGTAAAGAAAAAAGACTAATTCCTTCTGGTATAATTGTTTGGTTTCAAGACAATGGATAGATAGATACTGATTTAATGAACGAATATGTTGATTATCTTAAGGATATAAAGGTTAATAGATCCGGAGCTCCAATGATGATGGTCTATGATTCTTTTACAGGACATCTAGAAAAATCAGTTAAAGAAAAGTTTCGAAATAATGGGATTGATTTGGCAGTAATTCTAGCTGGCTTAACCAGCGTGTGCCAACCATTAGACGTCGCTATCAATAAACTATTTAAGGATAACCTTTGTAAGGAATGGCATCTCTGGATATCTCATGGTGGTGCCGGTACAACTGCTAAAGGAAATCTTCGCCGTGCAAGTTTTAGTGATGTATGTTGGTGGGTTAAATATTCTTGGAAAGGAATTTCTAACGAGGTTATTATTAAATCTTTTAAGGCTTGTGGCATTACAAATAGTTTAGTCAATCAGGATGATTCTGATAAAGAAAATGACTATGAAGAACTAGAAATTATCGACTTGACAATTTAACATTGAAATTAGTAGAAGAACAATAGTTCATAGGTTAGAATTAAGACTTAAATCAAAAATGAGATGCATAGAAACTCCAAATTATGTAAACGCTACTTTATCTGTTAACTGCAATATTTTAATTCTAACATGAATGAAATACTATAAAATTTAGTGGTCAAAATTTTTATTGTAATCATGGTTAGCAAAATGATAGATAATTTTATTTCTACTTTATGTAACTTACACATCTTGATAAAGCAATGATTTCAGAATTCTATTCGAATTTAAGATAGGCCTGAATAAGGACGTATTCCAATAATGGTGCGTTATCCAAGGATCAACATTACATTGGGCTGAAATGCATGTAAAGTTATTTATGTAAAATTATTTGTCTTATAATTTACCTTTTGAAGTTTTCTTACTTCTTTTTTTTTTTTTTTTTTATACATATTTTTATTCATTACAAAATATACATTCGGGATCAAACAAACTTAAATAACTTGGATACTATAACAGGCAAGATATTATTATTTTAATCGCAAACAAACTTAAGAAGGTAATATAGATTTTCACCAACAAGATAACATATCTGACCGCTATTTTCATAGCCTTGAAATGTTATTTTGTTAGCAAACTTTATCATTTTATTTAATTATTATTTAAGGTTAATATTAACCAATATTACTACTTTTAGGATTTTTCTTATTATATTAATAAGAAGTTGATTAGTCTGTTAATATGGAAACTTCAAAGAGTTAGTAATGCGAATGCTAGTGATGCAAATATTCATATAAGTGAATCTGAATTTAAATTAAAGGTTCTTATTAACTATTTATACACATTATAATTTACATTAATTTACTTTTACCAATTAAAAATTATACATTTATTATATTAATAAGTTCTTTAAAGATAACGATAATGTTAGTATAGTGATGAGAGAAATAGATGCTGAAAATGATTCAAATACTCATAAAGTAGCTTGTTAATTTGTTTCTTGAGTGATACTGAATTAACACCTAGAAGTAATTATTCAGGTTTTCAGTGTGATAAACCGATCGTATTTGTGATTCATTTATGTAGTAATATAATTTTTCAAAGGTCGCCACAGTAAAAACCCAGATATTCACTTGGTTTTAATTTGGTAACACTTACTTTATAAATAAGCACTATGATCTATATTAACAAATAAATATTTGTAGTTGCTTTTTTTGCTGTCTTTTGACTTGCCGAACATGGTCTGAATTCTCTTATTCTTTATAAAATACTTCTTAAAAGTGCTACCACATTTTTTACGGGCCTTATTTAGAAAATTTTCCTATACTGGTATATCCAGTTAATTCAAATATATTCAATAAATAATATCATATGATGTCCTCTGACGATCCTGTTAGGAGGTTGTTTTTTTTTTTTTTAAAAAAAAAAGTATATTCAAAGCTAAAAAAAAATCACTACCGATTTTTTATATATAAACATTTAACCATGACTAGATAGACTCATGTAAAAACTAGCTATTAATATAAATAAAGTTTATAACTTTTTGGTGCATTTATTTTGGATACGAATGTAAATGCATGATGCTTAATTACGGGCATTTAGATGCTTAATTTCGGGTAAATATAGAATGCGGGGGTGCTTAATTTCGGGGTGCTTAATTTCAGAAGTATATGGTACTATTATTATTATACATAATCTTTTGAACTGAAAATTTAACTCCAGAAGATACGAATTATGCTTGATAACTTGTGCTATATGTTTTTTTCAGATTTGTTTTATAACTACACCAACTCTTGAATCTTTTTTTTTGTTTTTATCTGCTAATACCCAAAAGTTACTATAATTATTGTTTTATTTAGTAATGTATTGTTCTTCTTTTTCTGATATGTTTGTCTTTACAAAGCCCAGGATATTAATATCTTTTTCTTTTATATAATCTATAATATTCTCTGCTTTTCTTTTATTAGCCTTTAAACTATTAATTTTGTAAAACCTGTTGTTAATAAATTGTAGTTTTCTAATATTTTATATGAAAGCTGCTTTTTTTTTTCTTTTTGTCTTCTTTCAATTTTCAGGGTTGTGTTTTTCATCTTCTTAGCTCTTCTCTTAATTTCAATTTTAGCGCCTTTTAGGAGCCCTTGCAACTTTTTTTCTGCTTTTTAGATTTCATTTCGGATTTTTTAGCCTTCTTTGAATCTTTATTAATATTATTTCTATACTTTGTAGATTTGTTTCTTTATTGTTTCTTTTTTTTTACTAAGTTGCTATACTCTTTTAAAATAGTTAATTTATATTATATATATTAAAATTATATAATAATTATATATAC